GTTCAGGTGATTGTTCTTGTTAAAGATTTACTAATTTGTAAAAAATTAATTCTACATTCCTATTTAAACTAAAAGAACTTTAAAACAATTCGTATGGAAAATGGAAATACATAAATACATTGAGTTGAAAATTTAATTTGGAAAAAAATTCTTGGAATATACTAAATATTCATTAACTGAAATATATGGAAAACGACAAGAAAAGTTTTAAAAAAATCTTTATCTCAAATTACATTTGATGATCTTAAAATTCAAAATACAAAGTAAAATGAGAATTTAATTAAACATGCAGTTAATTAAATTTAATATTTATTGTAAATCTTCAGAATGTATTTAGTAAGTAAACTTAGAGAAACATCAAAGTAATGTTAAGTACGTTTTAAATTATATTATATAAGTTAAAAAGAGATAATACTTAAGTGAATGTTTACTTAAAACTCCTTGTCACAAAGACTTCGTTCATCATTTCAAATTCTTAAGTGGATTAACAAGTAAAAAAATCTCTCAATTTAAAAAACACGAAACATGCTATTGCAATTTGAAATGTTTCCTTTTAAACTAATAACCTCTGTAAGCAACTATTTTTTTCAATATTATCTTCTTTAATGCATTGAATTTGTTCATGAAACAAATTTTTAAATAAATTTGCATATTTTTTGGGCTTCAAAATATTAATTTATTCCAGAAATATACATAATAATTTGAAAGTAGTAGCAATTTAATTCTCTATCAAGCACTGATCATTTCAAAAAATTAAATTTTGTATAGGAAAATTAAAAAAAAAATGAGGAGAATCGGTCAGATAGCTCCTGAGAAATCGAACTTCGAGTTTTTGGAATTCACTTTTTCAGGAACTACCCGACCGAGTTTGCTCAAACATTGTTATTTTGTTATATAAAATTACACTCCTTAAAAATTATGCAAAAAATTTTATACCTTACGATTCAAAATTTTTTTGACCAATCTTAAAAAAAATAATAAAAAATAATGAATATTTAATAAAATTAATTTTTTACATAAACTTTATCTTTCGATAGATGAATTTCATTACTGTATGTAAAACTTTTTCAATTCATTTAAAAATATCTCGGGATATAGCGAAATTCACAAAAGTAAAATTAATATTAATGGGTCAAAACTTTGAAGCGCTCTCTTGACCAAACAACTGGAACCATCTTTCCAGATAGCAGCTGCCACCTATATTTTGGGTATGAGAAATCCAAATCAGTCGAAAAAGAGATATATTTTTTCAGAGAAAGTACGCTTTTGTGAATTATCGTAATTTAAAATATCGTCTGCACTTGTTAAATAGTATACTTGAGATCATCCCCTCGAGCCATTAAGATTAGGTCCTAGAATGTGACGATACGGGAATTATATTAAAATTTTTCAGGATTATCCGTTTTTATTTGGTGCACTGTACATTACTGCACCGTAAAATTAAATGCTAAAAAACATTAAATGCTAGAAAAGTATCGTCACTTGAGATATCAGCACATTCTTTTGTAAAAATTTGCAGGATCAGACATAAGTATATGCTTAGTAATCTCCAAATTTCAAACCTGGTGTACATATTTATTAAACCAACGCACTTTCCCATGAGCCATCCCTTTGACCTTGAAAGGTGTTTTAAAACAGAATAAAATAAGTACGGAAACCGATCTTGAGGTCGTAGTAAATAATAAAGGTACGACCTTGGACCTTTTCAAAACAAAAGTTTTTGCTGTTACTACAAGATGAGCTAACAATAAAGCCAAAACCCAATTTAGCTGAATCCAAAATAGCGAAATTCCTAAGTAACGAATATTTCCCGAATCACCATTACATTTCCTTAGAAAGAAAGTATTCAAAATACTGATGTAGCTAAATGGCTTTATGATGGTGAAAATAAACAATAGTTTCATCTCTCAAGATCAAAACACTTTTAAATTTCTTCAGAAGTACCTAATACCATCTCAGAATTCAAATATCTGTACTTGTCGGTGAATAACAACAAGATAAAAATTTGATTTAGTGTAGTCTGATTTGATTTAGTCTTATTCATTAGTTAAAATTGTTTTACAATTACTTCTCCTGAAAGTGCAAATATATGTCAAAAAATTATCAAATTTTCATCACTTTACTTGTCTAAAATAAAAACTAAGATTTTTGTTTGTAATAATCTGCAAACAAAATCGACTTCTGTTTGTAATAATCTAATTAAAAAAAAACATTTTTTGAATAAATTTCGCTTAAGAAATATGACATATCAATTCGAAAACCCAGAGAATAAATGGTAGGAAAACCAATATAACAGTATCCAAATATTAGTTAAATATATTAGTTAAATAAAGTTTATTACAAAAATTATAATAGTATTCAATTTCAGAAATATCAATTAAAATTTGTTACACGAATAAATTGAATGTTTGTTTAGATTACTTCTTAAAGCAGTATCTCTGAAAGCAACGGCGGTGTAAAAGTCGTGATCTCTTTCTGAATTACTGAAAAAGATCAGAAATTAAAGCCTTGCATACAAAAGTCAATATATGAACAAAAGCTCGCGAGAGAATAAGAGGATTTAGCATGAGAAAATGGATAAGCAATAGAAGTTTTTAATGTCACGAGAATAAAGTCGGTATAGGAGTGATTTTTGAGAAGACTTAGATAGAGTAAATAAATCAAAACTATTGCTGCGAGAAAATCTAACTTAATCTCTTAGTTTCATCATACCACTTAATCTCCTGAAAGGTATTTACTTTGGGGTTATTTGTTTGAAAAGTATGCTTAGATTTCATTTTTTGGCATCTACAAATTACCTACCCCATGTTTTTTAAAATTAAATTAGATTTAATTTAATTAAACAATAAATTACTTAAAAAATAAGAATGCTGATTTTATTTTCTTGAGTTGAATTTTTCGAACTATAAAACTGCTTCATAATCTGAATAATGAAAGATAATGTTTCTCGACAAAACTAAGAATGCTAAGAATACACGAAATTAAGAATGAAAAACTAAGAATTCATTTTGTTTAGCATTAAGACAATTATGTGAATTTTATTTCATAATTTATTACTGGTGTAAAATTTGGGGAATTTCTTAAAATTCTGCAATTTTGTCATACGGAGTTTAACTATGTATTAAATTAATTTTATTTGAAATAAAAATCTTTTAATATATCAAATTAATTTTCTTGTGTACATTAAAAGATTAATCTGAATTTTTATTCTTTATTTTAAAACGTATTTAGACAGAATCGGAGTAATACGTATTTTTTAGTCAAAATGTACGTTTTTTTTCTACTTCCCTTGAAAAAGAAAAGAAAATGAAAAAAATAGAATCTTCTTAAAATAAATGATGTGAAACTGTAAATAAATATGCATTATTTTACGATTTGTTTAAATTTGAAAAAGAAGATTTGGAAGTTTCTGAAAAACTTTTTTTAAAGATATCTTTTCTTAGTTCTCAAAAATTATTTAGCGTTTCATTAGCTTTCTTTTATTCATGAACCCAAAAATTTAAAATATTCAGACTGCGGTGATAAAAGTTATAAGGTTTTTAAAAGTATAATTGTTTTTAAATTAATCCAAAAAAGGCTACTTTTTGATTATAATCCGATTAAGAGACTAAACATTATTAAACGGGTTTCCTTTTTGTCGAATTTACAATAGGTTTCATTGAATTGCATACAAATTAAACATATTCTTATAAAATCATGGTCGAAAGCGGAAATACATTTCTTGTTCATTGACGACTTTCTAGAAATATCTTGTTTGGTTTGAGTAGTATGGAAAGAAAATTTAATGTTTTGGCTACTTTTTTCAAAAAACGTGTATTTATAATCTCCGAATCAAGGAGGCGAAATATTTAATTAATTTCAATCATTTATTTCAAAACAAATAAATGAATAATTAAGTAAAATAAAACTGCAGACAGATAAAAACTAAACAAAGTTTCATTAACCATTATTTCTTTTATTTTTTAACTATATACTTTTTGTACAACAAGTATTATTTTTTGTTCGCAATGTAAAAGTAATTAAGAAAATCTGTTAGCGCATTCAGAAAAAGCCGTCACAAATTATACCAGTGTAGGGATCAGTCATAAATTTGATCCTGGTAACACACTAAACAGCTGGTTTGTATACTCTTGTTGGTTAATAGGTTAACCGTTTTTCCTGGAAGCAAATGACCTTCTGCATCATGATCAATGCGGTTTCCAAAAGCATAGATCCACCACATCAGCTATTAAATGTCTGATCAGTTCCATAAAACAGGCTAAAGAAAATGGGCATCACTCGTTAAGTACTCCATGCAGAATACAGAGATTTTACAAAACGGTACAATTGGAGTGACACAGGGTTCGATCCTTGGTCCCATCCTGTGGCTACTCATCGCCAATATAAAACTAGAAGAAGACAGGAAAATTGATGTAAAAATTTTTGCGTCTGATGATGATTTCTTTGCAATGATTTCGGGATCAATGTTTAATCGACTGAGCCAACAAACGACTACCGTACTAAGGAATTTTCAGAAATGGGCAAAAGTACTAAACCTCAAATTTAGTCTAGCAAAAACACAAATCATATTCTTACCTAAATTAAACAAGATCACTAGAAAACCTACCGTGAAACTGGGTGGACAGAGTATATCGATAATCCCAATCATAACTTAATTTGGGTTCCAACTTAACTGTCAGCTCTCCTGGTTGCCCCAATTGGATAAGCTTCATAATAAAATCTCTATCTTCCAAGCTAAACTGAACAGACTCTCTGGAGTTGACTGGTGTATGAACCCACACATTAAAAAATTCATTTTCCAAAATAGTACACAAAAATTAATCACTTATGGATCCAAAATCTGGAGCAATAATCAAGTCAGAACTCTTAACATACTTAAAAAAATAGAACGAATTCCTCTTCTCTCCGTAACAAGAGCCTACAGGAAAACCTCGACAGATGCGCTAGAATTTTTGGCAAGGAACGTCCCATTACATTTAATTATTAATACAGAAGAAGAAATGGCGAATATTTATTTCCATAAAAGCATTGAAGATCCATACATACCTCTACCAGTCTTCCCACCAATACATCCTGCAGAGTTAAAATCCTCAAATTTTGACTACAATTTACCAATAAAAGGTGTAATTAAGATATTCACGGACGGTTACAGGCTAATTTATATTGGCGAATACAAAGTAGGATGTGCATTCGTAATATACGTCGATGGTGGTCTTGTAGAGTATCGCAATTTTAGACTTACAGATTATTCAACAGTTTTTAACGCAGAATTATGGATGATACTTCTGTCACTTCAATGGATGCACCAAATCAATATCAATAGCGAAACAAATATCTATTCTGACTCACACTCCAGTTTTCAAGCCCTTAGCAACACGAACACGAATGATTACCTAGTTCAAATGATAAAAAATACTTTCAACAGTATTACTAAATTCCACTGGATTAAAGCCCACAAAGGATATGAGGGCAATGAGGAGGCTGATAGACAGGCCAAATTAGCTTGTCAAAAATCAACAATAGATCAAACATGCCAATCAAATAGACATGCCATCAAAACAGACAACAAGAACAGAACTTATGAAGAATAACCTTTCAACATGGCAGTAAATATGAGATAATAATAATAATACAAAGGGCCGACACACTTACCAATTTATCCCAAAAGTCAGTGATCGAATCAATTTCTAACTAACCATGGAGCCCAGGGTAGTTATAAGTCTAAATTGTTCGGGGAAAGCTCGAACTGTAAAGTTTGTAAGAATTATGAAGATATCGAACAGATACTTTCTGTCTGTCCAGTTTAAAATTATTTAAGAATTAAGTTTTTCCAGAACAATTTCAACTTTGACATCATTTAAAGAAACTGGAACCAAAGGAAAATAAACAAAGGGATTGAAAAATATTTTTAAAAGACTTTTTGAAAACAGAATTGAGGATTTGGCCTAAACTGATCATTCGATAGTATTCCCTTAATGCCCGGAATGGGGGGCGGGACAGAGTTAAAGCTGAGCTACTCTTGTTGGTTGTGGTGTAAATGTTACGACAGTGGATTTTGTCCATTTCGTTTTACCGTTGTCAAAACTACGGTCGTGGAATGACAAAGGCTTAAGAAACAGGTAAATGTGATTAATCATGGTTTAGTGATGCGTAAAAATTATTGATGGAGATGAAGGGAACCTGATAAGGTTCCGAACAAATAAAATCCATATTATTTATATCGGATTAAAAACCTTTGGTGTTTTATTCCTTACCAAGAGTGCATAAAAAACTGCAAAAAATTCCAAAATTAAGTAAGTAAAAAACAAAATAAATACATACAAATATAATTTTGAAAATATTAAGTGATAAAGTCAAAATATTATAGAGCGGCTATAATAATTCCTTATATGTTGTTTCGTATGCGTCCCTACTTTCAAGTAATTAATACACAACTGTTGTTAGCTTAAATTCAATATTTACAATGTCTTTGCATTGTAGTGGTTAAGTTATCATTTAAAAACAAATAAAAAATAGCTCTCATAGAACAATATAATCTGACTACTGAAAAAAAGTATATATAGAGAGATAGATAGATAGATAAACTAATCCATTTTTAAACAAGATCACTTCGCTTGTTGCATTTAAATTACTTATTCACGTTAAATTATTGATTTATTTTATTTGATAATTCATTTACATTTGCTTATTTATACTTTTTTTAGCTTAAAACTATGTATCTTGATGATGTTTCAAATTCTTATGCCTCTACAATTGTATAACAAATAAATGTCCTTATTAGTTTTCATAAAAATTATGGGTTTTTATCATTACATAAATCAAAAGCATGATAAAGTATTTTCATAGTAATTTAAAACACATAACTAAATTGCCATTTGTATATTTAATTAAGACTGAGTCAATGAAAATTACCTTTCAAATACTTCTCAATAAATTTACTTTAAAATTAAGATAAATGAATTAGTTTTAGAAATAACAGTGGGAAATTCTTCATATTTATTTTCAGAAATCAATACAAGACTTTTATTCTCAACACCGCGAGGATAATAATAAAAAAAAGGAAGAAAAAAAAATAAATACACAAATTTGCCAATGAAAAAAACGGAAGAGAAGATATAGATTAAAAACAATGCAAGAAAAATTACGGTAGCCAAGAGAGACATCGGTGGTCAAAAAAGGTGAATCAGAGCATATTCCCAAATATGCTGAAAGATGACTGTGGAATTTATATCAATAACATTGGAACTGGCAGTAATATGAATGAAACAAGATTCAAGAGCATCAAGATGAGATGATGAGGCAGGGATGAAAGAATTTAGTGCTTTAGAAATTAAATTTACTCTCATGAATTCAACAATGTGCGGCAATAGAGAATGTGCCTGATTCTTGATGCTGAGTCGTGCTACCTTGCTAAAATTTCAAAGAGAGGGAATAGTTTTGCTGGATGAGGATATCTGTGTCAATTAGACGAGAAGAAATCAAGTCAATGCAGTTTTCCCACTGACAACTATATATCTGTACTTCAGTTTTATGGAATTATTAATTTACTCTATGTATATAGTGTGAAAAAAAATTGATTTAAGGAATGTTAACAAATATTATTCATATGTACTCTAAACTATAAAACTAATGTTCTTAGCTTTAAACATGATGAATATTTATCAAAATTTAAAATATTATGTAATGAAAAAAAAAGGTTTTAGAAATGTTTATTAAACAAAATAAGTTAAAAAATGTTTTTCATAGCAATGGAATCTAAATAGTTTTTACTATATAAGATTATCTTGTAGATTCAAATTGAACGAAATGAAATAAACTGAAATCATTAATTTTTTAATGAATAAAAATATTTTCTGAAATAAATAATAAGAGATTGAATGACTTCTGTCTGAAATTATAAACAATAAATAAGTATAAATTCGGTTGTTTAAACTCTGTAAAAAATAAATGTATGTAAGATTTAATTTCTTCTAATTAATTTTTGCTTTGATACCTGGTTCGTATAAAAAATAAAATAAAATTAATTGAGTCACTTCAATATAATAAAACAAATTCAGAAATGCAGAACAGATAAAAAAAATATAATGAATATGGGATAGTTATTTGTGTAACATTATGAAATTATACATTATAAAAATACATTTAAATCATATTTTCTGATAAATTTATATCTGAATTCATTACTTCCATGCACATTCTATTACATTCTTGAGAAATCATTGTCTTATAAAGATTGGCAACACACTGTTTAGACATGTCATTCCAAATATTAGTTTAGGTTTCATTTAAATCGATAAACACTCCTGTGCATGACATTAAATCTTCAAATGAGTAATCTGATCAGAATATGACATTTCCATATCGGAGAAAAGACAACGCACATCAAACATGACGGAATATTAAATACTTAAGCGGAAAATTTCCATTCAGACATTTGTTCTTGAAATATTTTACGATAACTGAAGCCATTTGCAGATTAATTTTAAAAGTGGGGCATATAGAATTTTAGTATTATTTGATATCAATAATCTGTTGTGATAAATATGATTGTTTATGTTATATCGTTATGATTTTAAATATATATATATTGAATGAAATAAATAAAAACATAAAAGAGTGATCGTAATAGTGAAATGTTGTTCAAATCAATTACCTGATCCTTCGTTCCAGAAGGATCTCCAGGATCGTGTGGTCTAATGGTGCTACTTGGATTTGAAACATTTAAGAGTTCTTTTAGGAAATTTTAAGGAACTTTATTTCTTCTTCTCATGACTGATTCTTAGATGCTGGTGGCTCCGGACAGGTGGTGTTAACACATACGGGATCTCGTGGGGAAAAACTCACATCTTAGACAAAAAGGATAATTTTCATTTTGAATGAAGATGGATTCCAGTTCATCAACAAATTATCTGAGTCGTGCCGCATGCACACTTGGACAGTAGAACATCAGGAACACGTGTCAAACTTCATTGTTTTATCTTAATGGAACGTGATAGTGTCTTGAAATTATTTTTGTTAAATTTTTGACTTAAT